TTTAAAACATAATATCAGATTCTGAATCATGATTCAGAATCATCCAACCCAAACACTGATTCTGAATCATGATTCAGAATCATAATTCAGAATCACTATAAGTAAACACTGATTCTGAACTAAATTTTGAATCCATCTACAAAACGCACCTTAAGTGCCTCACTGTCCCAACTTTCTGTAATGTTTTCGCTCGTTCAAAGTCTTTCCATTCTAGTATGTCTTATAGCTTTTCTTGGTTCGTAGAACCACTTCTAGCAAGTCATTAACAAAAAGAGCACAAACCAATTCCAATATTTTATTACAAGGAAACTAATGATTTTGTCTTCCACAGAGTGATCTCAACTCTTGAATGCTCCATGATCTTAATTTATATTACGAATTTATGTTAAATATATACTGTTCATAATATAGTCTATTTTGACGTGTGAAATTCCGAATATGCACTTTCTGATTAATGACTTATATTTATATCCTTATAATCAAATCGAATTAATGATTTATGACTAAGAGTATTCTCAAAATTTCATAGGTTAAAATGAACAGTTTGCCTTTAGCATAAGTTGGTAATACAAAGGTATAATCCTTAGGTCCGTTTAATTCATTGATTCGAGTTTTTAATTCGAGTTGAGATGTGACTTTATGTGAGAGTTTTTTACTGTAACAAAAAAGTTAGATGTGACTATTTCTGAAAGCTTTTCACTGTAACAAAACTCGAATCGGTAAAATGAACGGGGTCCTTATTTGTTGCGTGCATGACTAGCTCAACCAGTTTTGAGGCCTTACTCACTTAAGTGCAAGTGGGAGATTGTTAGCGTTTATGCCTTTAGGAATAAATGTACCAATGTTCTTTGAGACATTTCGACTATTAATAAAGATTTATTTATTTCATATATCTATGTATTGTTCCCTTTATGTTCACATTAGTTGAATGTATGATAAGCAAACTGAAAGTCTGAGACTGTCATTCTAAATCTTTAGGTCATGCATGTAATGTGAAGAACATGCGGAAGACAAGAATCTAAAGATGATAGTCTAAATCATATGATCCACAATCGAGAGAATAAAGTTGAGCGCTTTATTCATATTAAGATTGTTGTGTTGTCTACTTCCTAACGGAGACGGCTTGTCTTGAGCGTTGGAGGTGGGACTCCATGAGTAGAGACATTGATATAGTTTATAATGGTGAAATCTATATTGGGTCGGACCAAAGTTGAATTGTTTTAATTAATAATTCTGTTTGAATAAAACAATTCACTTTTGACGAATTATATGTTGTCATCTTAATCCTGAGATGGATGATGAACCCGTATGCTTGACTTGTATCCTTTGATGTACTAAAGGGAGACATCCTAACATTATGTAAAGGTACGCTTGCCGGTACATTGGGAGTATGACTCGTGTATGCGTAGATTCGTTATTCATAGATAGTGGAATCCATAGCTCCTATAAAGAGTCAATAATATCCTCTTATGCATTATCAGTGGATTGGAAAATATGAGCGCTCAGCCATTGGACTACTCTGTGTTATCTAATGGTTTACTGTTTGTAATGATACGAATAGTATTTTTCCGATAGTATGATAATGGAACATAAGATAAATGTAATCGGGAAGGTAAAAAGGAACTTGACCTCAAGTCGATTATGGATATCCTATGGGGATGATACAATAATATTTTGAGTCATAGACTAGAGCTAATCAGAGCTTTATAAATACACTATATAAATCGAGAGTGCAGCTCTAGGCTTTTAGTGGAATAGCGCTAGAGTTTTATAATCATGAGACGGACTTGTTGGTTTACAAGTAGCGTTGTGATTATAG